GAAAGAAAAACCATAGACAACCTAAGGAAGAAAATCACTGACAAAGAATTCAACAAAGTTTCCCAGAAATTAAGGACAAAAATCCACTCAAAAAGGGGCCTGGCACAGAAACAGACCTGCATCAAGGCAGGTATTAATACATCATTGTGAAATTTTGGAACAGTGGTGACAGAAGGGAAAGAAAACCTAGTCATATAGAAAAGATCCGACTCAAAATCACTTGACTTCTCTACAGCAATGCTAGATGGCAAAGTAACCATGCCTTCAAAATTCTGGAGGAAGCTAATTCCAACATAACAATTTCATACCCAATCCAATGAAGTGCGAGCATATTTTTAGACATGAAGGTACTCCCCCAAAATAAGGACATAAAAGGTTATACAGAAAACAGATTCAACAGAGGAGCAGTGTGGGGAGTGTCCAGGGTGACAGCGACACACCAGGCACAGGGGGAAACCAGTCCGGATGGGAATGGGTCAAGAATAATAACTGATAAATGAAATGTCATGATCTTTAGATAAGATTGGGGTTGAATTAGAGACAAATAGAAAACTAAGCAAATAAAAATGCAAGAGGGAAAAGTTACTTTCAGGAAAAAGTTCCACAGTAATCTAGTCTATATGGCACCATCATATTTTTTAAAAGTTTAACATCTTAATAATTTAACACTGAATATGATCTAACCAGAATTACCATATCAGGAGATGGGTGAGAGGAAGTATATCCCTCTGGTGAGCAGGAGGAAGAGAGGATTCCAAAGATAATGCCAGCCGGGTGCAGTGGCTCACATCTATAATCCCCAGCACTTTGGGAGGCTGAGGCGGGCAGATGGCTTGAGGCCATGAGTTCAAGACCAGCCTGGGCAACATAGCAAAACCCTGTCTCTACAAAAAATACAAAAATTAGCTGGGCACAGTGGTGCCTGCTAGTATTTCTAGCTACTTGGGATGCTGAGGTGAGAGAAACACCTGAGCCTAGCAAGGTTGAGGCTGTAGCAAGCCATGATTGTGCCACTGTACTCCAGCCTGGGGGACAGTGAGAGTGAGACCATTTCAAAACAAGCAGACAAAAAACCATCAAGGAATAGCCATGAAAACATGTTCATATTGAGACATGGAGGTAAATACAAACAAATCAGCCAAGAGTTGGAAGGACTATTGTGAGGCAAGGACAGTGGGGTAAAGGCAGGGTAGGAGGGCTGTTTTTCATAATAAACCTTACAGAACAACTTGCCTTTAATATATGCCAACTGATTTTTCCCTTAGATGCAGAATATAAAACTATTCACAAAGCTACACAGTTTAGGTTGACTCCCCTTCACTTTTCAGGATCTAGGTAGGGTTATAGGCAGTTTCCACGGTGTGGAGAATCCGCAAGGCTGGTGCTCCACACGGGTCCGGGGTGAACCACATCAAAAGTCACTTTTCAGATCCAGGACGCAGTTCACTACCATTAAGGGTAATGTGTTATTATTCAAAGTACTGTTTACTGTCAAAGGAAGGCTAGTGCTCCTGGACGGGTCCAGGGTGAACCACATCAAAAGTCGCTTTTCAGATCCAGGACGCAGTTCACTACCATTAAGGGTAATGTGTTATTATTCAAAGTACTGTTTACTGTCAAAGGAAGGCTAGTGCTCCTGGACGGGTCCAGGGTGAACCACATCAAAAGTCGCTTTTCAGATCCAGGATGCAGTTCACTACCATTAATAATGTGTTATTATTCAAAGTACTGTTTACTGTCGAAGTATGATGAATTAGGTAATGGTTATACTAAAACAACATATTCTAGTACAGGATCAAAATGTGGCTTCAGGTCTACCATGTAAGAATCACCTATCTGGGGCACAAGGGAATATTGTTTAAAATGCAGATTCCTGGACCCCACTTCAGGCATAGGCCTTGCAGTTTTCACTTTTTTTTTTTTTTTGAGATGGAGTCTCTTTTTGTCCAGGTGGGACTGCAATGGCCTGACGTCCACTCACCACAACCTCTGACTCACAGGTTCAAGCAATTCACCTGCCTCAGCCTCGTGCTTAGCTGGGATTACAGGTGCAAGCCACCATGCCCAGCTCACCCAGCTTGGCCAGCTCATTTTTGTATTTTTATTAGATGGGGTTTCCCCACGTTGGTCAGGCTGGTCTCAAACTCTCCTGACCTCAGGTGGTCCACCTGCCTTGGCCTCCCAAAGTGTTGGGATTACAGGTGTGAGCCACCACGCCTGGCTGCAGTCTTCATTTATAACAAGATCCTTAGCTGATATTGAAAACCACCTCTCTCTTTTTTTTTTTTTTGAAACGAAGTCTTGTTCTGTCCCCTAGGCTGGAGTGCAGTGGTGTGATCTCCGCTCACTGCAATCTCTAAATCTCTACCTCCTGGGTTCAGGCAATTCTCCTGCCTCAGCCTCCTGAGTAGCTGGGACTACAGGCACCTGCCACCATGTCCAGCTAATTTTTGTATTTTTAGTAGAGATGGGGTTTCACACCATGTTGGCCAGGACGGTCTCGATATCCTGACCTTGTGATCCACCACGTTGGCCCTCCAAAGTGCTGGGATTAAAGGTGTTGAGCCACCCTGCCCAGCCTCTCATCTGTTATATTAATTACCTAGCAGGTTTCAGTAATGTCAGCAAATCAATGTCTGCAAATCAAGGTTACCAGCAGGGAAAAGGGAAAGAAGTCCGGGTAGGGGCCAGGCACAGTGGCTCATGCCTGTAACGCTAGCACTTTGGGAGACCGAGGTGGGCAGATCACTTGAGCCGAGGAGTTCAAGATCAAACTGGGCAACAAAGAGACCCCATTTCTACAAAGAAACTAAGTCCACGCAGGGTACGGGCGGGTAGCATTGCTTCTACATGAAATAATTCCATTTATAAAGATTTCAGGCCAGGAGCGGTAGCTCACGCCTGTAATCCCAGCACTTTGAGAGGACATGGCAGGTGAATCACCTAAGGTCAGCCAGCCTGACCAATATGATGAAATCCCATCTCTACTAAAATACAAAAAAATTAGCCAGGCGTGGTGGTGCGCACCTGTGGTCCCAGTAACTTGAGAGGCTGAGGCAGGAAAATTGCTTGAATCTGGGAGGCGGAGGTTGCAGTGAGACAAGACTGTACCACTGCACTCTAGCCTGGCGAAAGAGCAAGACTCCATCTCAAAAAGAGAAAAAAAAAACAAATTTTCCGGCACAGTGGCTTACCCTTGTAATCCAAGCCTGAGCACTCTGGGAGGCTGAAGCAAGTGGATCAGTTGAGGTGAGGAACTCAAGACTGGTCAGCATGGTGAAACTGCATCTCCAGTAAGATGAATACAAAAATTCGGCGTGGTGGTGTGTGCCTGTATTCCCAGCTACTCAGGAGGCTGAAGCAGAACTGCTTGAACCCGGGAGGCAGAGACTGCAGCGAGCTGAGATCACACCACTGCACTCCAGCTTGGGCAACAGAGCGAGACTCTGTCTCAAAAATAAAGAAAAAAAAAAATATATATATATATATATATATATATATGTATAGTTTTGTTTTGTTTTGAGACGGAGTTTCACTCTTGTTACCCAGGCTGGAGTGCAATGGTGTGATCTCGGCTCACCGCAACCTCCGCCTCCTGGGTTCAGGCAATTCTCCTGCCTCAGCCTCCTGAGTAGCTGGGATTACAGGCATGCACCACCATGCCCAGCTAATTTTTTGTATTTTTAGTAGAGACGGGGTTTCACCATGTTGACCAGGATGGTCTCGATCTCTTGACCTCGTGATCCACCCGCCTCGGCCTCCCAAAGTGCTGGGATTACAGGCATGAGCCACCGCGCCCGGCATATATATATATTTTTAAGACGGGGTTTCACCATGTTGGTCAGGCTGGTCTTGAACCCCTGACCTCAGGTGATCTGCCCGCCTTGGCTGCCAAAGTGCTTGGATTATAGACATGAGCCACCATGCCCAGCCAAAAATAGCTTATTAGAAACTCAAGACAAAGTCTTGCTCTTTTGTGCAGGCTGGAGTACAGTGGCAAGGTCATAGCTCACTATGGCCTCAAACTCCCAGGCTCAAGTGATCCTCCCACCTCAGCCTCTCAAGTAGTGAGGACCACAGGTGTGCACCACCATACCCAGTTATTCTTTAAATTTTTTGTTAGAGACAGGGTCTCACTATGTCTTGCAGGCTGGTTTTGAACTCCTGACCTCAAACAATCCTCTACCTCAGCCTCCCAGAATGTTGGAACCAAGCCACTGTGCCCAGCTGCTGGTTACCTGTTCTACACTAAAAACTATGTGGATGTACCAATCAATGCTGAGATGTTCTGATAAGCTCACAGGAATCTGTTTTCCCAAATCACCACAAAACTGCTTGTGTAGCCAGTATAGGAGCCAAGGAAGTTGGCTACTAGAATTCCCTGAATTACTTTTGTTATTGTTTTTGTTGTTGAGACAGGGTCTCGCTTTGTCTCCCAGGCTAGAGTGCAGTGGTGTGATTTTGGCTCACTGCAACCTCCGCCTCCTGGGTTCAAGCGATTCTCCTGCCTCAGCCTCCTGAGTAGCTGGGATTACATGTGCATGCCACCATGCCCAGATACTTTTTGTATTTTCAGTAGAGATGGGGTTCTACCATATTGGCCAGGCTGGTCTCAAACTCCTGATCTCGTGATCCACCTGCCTTGGCCTCCCAAAGTACTGAGATTACAGGCCTGAGCAACCACGCCCAGCCCCTGAATGGCCAGTGTCACCTGTGTTGTTAAAGCTGAGCTGATGACAATTCCACAAATGTTAACTGAACAAAGTGCCACACTAAGTGCCTGTGTCTGAAGATGAATGAAACACAATCTGTGTGTTCTCAGAGCTTCTCCAAGGTGAACTTTTCTGGGGCTTAACCAGCAACTGGCCAGGAAAAGCGGCTTCAACTCTTATCAATAACTACGATATTTCAAAGTACTGGCATTCTCCCAGGACACCCCCCAGGGTGTCAAAATTTAGCCAAAGCAAACTCCAAATGAACACAAAGTACTTATTTTCTCAAAGGAAAACAAACAAACAAAATAGAACAAAACCCCCCTCCCAGATTTATTTAGCTTAACATTTCCCCTGATCTAAAAAGAAAGATGTCAAAAGAATACCTAGAACATATACACAAGCACCTACTCCAATGAACTCGGATAACCTAAAAAGAGAAAAGGGCAAAGTTCTGTTCAACGGAGAAAATTATCTTCGCTTCTGGAAGATGTTCCCACGTCCCATTCCACGTCCTCTTCCTCTTGCAGCCACTGAAAGGGAAGAAGAGAAAATATGAGGCCAGGTCAGTGTGGTCAGTGAATGCTCAAAGCACAGAGTAGCCAGGGCCCTAGGACACCAGTTAGAAGGGTTCTGAAGGGTTTCCTGGTCCAACACCACCCTAGCCATCGCATTTCCCCCACTTTTTTTTGGTTTTGTTTTTTTGAGACGCAGCCTCATTCTGTAGTCGAGGGTGGAGTGCAGTGGCGCAATCTTGGCTCACTGCAACCTTCACCTCCCGGGTTCAGGCGATTCTTGTGTCTCAGCCTCTTACGTTTCACCATGTTGGTCAGACTGGTCTTGAACTCCTGACCTCATATGATCCGCCTGCCTCAGCCTCCCAAAATGCTAGGATGACAGCTGTGAGCCACCGTGCCTGGCCAACGGCCACTGCATTTCACAGAGGGGATGGAGACTCGGGCAGGGGCTGGGGACTGGCATCAGAGCAGGAGCTAGTACCACGATTTGCCTTCCAGACCTATAGTGCTCTCTGCAAGAGGCTGGTAGCACACTGAGGGCAAAGAAGGTCTGAGAGCTATGGAAAAGACAAATTCCGGGGGCTGGCCTCGGGTGAGCTAAGAAAACATTATAGATGTAGTAAATTCATTTTTTCAATTCTGAAACAAACGTAGTTAAGTGTTAACATCTATTATAACTGGGTGAAGGGTAATATTATTTTTTGTGGTTTTTATTTTCTGAGAAAGAATAATTTCAGGCTGAGTGCAGTGGCTCATGCCTGTAATCCCATCACTTTCAGAGGCGAGCGAATCACTTGAGGTCAGCAGTTCAAGATCAGCCTGCCCAACATGGCTAAACACCATCTCTACTGAAAACAAAAATTAGCTGCACGTGGTGGTGTGTGCCTGTGATCCCAGCTACCGGGAGGCCAAGGCAAGAGAAACCACTTGAACCTGGGAGGCGGAGGAGGTTGCAGTCAGCTGAGATTGAGCCACCACACTCTGGCCTGAGTGATGAAGACTCCGTCTCAAAAAAAAACCCTATTTCATGGTAGCAAAAACAAAACACTCTTCATATAAACAGTATGATAAAACTGCTGTTCTCCTCTGTAACCCAGGGGTTCTAGGATAGGACAGGCTTTGAAGGACAGATGAAATATTCTGATGGCTACTAACTGGAGCCTCATCTCTCTGCTCATACAGACCTTGGAGTTGTCCCAAAGAGCAAGAGAAGAGAAGAGAGCTCACCCCCCAGCTGACAGGACCACAGCAAAGGGCTGGGAGGCACAGATGGCTCAGGCAGAAGTCAGCGGGCCTGGGTACACTCACTGCCAAGGGCCTTGCAGTGCACACCCACAAGGTGTATCTTTTGCTAGAGAAGATGGTGACAATGAGGGTGGCCCTTCCCTGAGGAAGCAGTAAGAGCAGTAGTTCTAGCCCTGGCCATAAAGCCAGAATTTCTGAAAACTCTTCCTTCCCCAGGACAAAAGGTGCAGAGCTTCTGGTTCTATCTTCTCACAGCTGCCTCTTGTCTGGGAGGGGCAAGGAGATTCTCTGATTAGTTTTTTTTGGGGGGTGTAGGGCATTTCAAAGGATTACACACTATTACATCTTTAAACTTGAGCTTTCATCCATGGTTCCTGGCTCATAACTCCTGTAGACCTTGTTATAGTATTTTGTTATAACATTGGGGCACTTTAGGCCTCAGAAGCAGGACTCAGGAAACAGAATCTCTCTCGAAACTTCTCCTGCCCTCCTTCTACCTGCCCAAGGCAGGACCCTAAATATGATTGTGGGTCACAAGACCTCACTCCAGAGAAAGGTCCTGCCCTATGCCCTGGAGGAAGAAATGCTGCAGAGAGGCCAAAAAGAATCTGGACTGGCCTTTCGGGGTTTCCTCACCCTGTCTATTAGTATTAGATCACACCCTTTTGTCTAATTGCATTTCCACATGGTTGTCCATCCTTCTATCATGTCTACCCAATGAAGTCTCTATAAAAAGGCCCAAGAGGACAGGGTTAGGGGAGCTTTGGGACGGCTGACCACGCAGAGCCTGACAGGAAGGTGAACAAGAACTCATCCATGTGCTGGGAGGGAACTCCATGCGGACAGAAGCTCTCGTGCTTGAGACCCTTCCAGATTTTACCCTATGCATGCATCTCTTCGTGTGGCTGTTTGAATTCGAAACCAGCCCGACCAACATGGAGAAACCCTGTCTCTAAGAATAATACCAAAAAAAACCACAAAAAAAACAGCCTGGCGTGGTGGTGCATGCCTGTAATCCCAGCTACTTGGAGGCTGAGGCAGAAGAATCACTTGAACCTGGGAGACGGAGGTTGCAGTGAGCCAAGATCACGCCATAGCACTCCAGCCTGGGCAACAAGAGCAAAAAATACCTCCGTCTCAAAAAAAACCAAAAAAAAAAAAAAAAAAAAAGAAAAAAGAAAAAATCCTTTGTTGTAAATCAGTAAACTTAAGTATGTGATTCCTACTCCAGCGAATTCACTGAACCTAAGGAGGGAGATGTGAGAACCCTGATTTGAAGACATCCAGACGTTCTGGAGGCCCATGCTTATGAATAGTGGGGAATGGAGGGGTAGTCTTGTGGGACCAGGCTCTTAACCAGTGGTTTCTCAGGCTATCTCTAGATAGATAATGTCAGATCTGAAAAACACCCAGCTGGTGTCTACTGCAGAACTGACTGCTTGCTTGGTCACACAAGTCTTCTTTGTTGATTGCTGTGTTGTGAGAGCAGAGGAAAAACACAGTTTGACTTTTTTTCCTATATAAAACATACAGAGCAGCTAAAGATACCAATGGAGAATCCAGTGCCTTCCCTGCCTGCAAACCCCCCCCCCCGCCTTTTTTTTTTCAGCCAACACTACGACAGTTTCTAAGGGCCGCAAATACTTTGTTATCTAATCCACATGGCAGAACTTCTCAGGAACTGAAATATAAAACCAAATTAAGCTAACCAAGAAGCAAGGCCAGACACTAGGGGACTGGGAAAAAGACAGTCCCACTTTTGGAATGTATTAAAGGAAGGCTTTATTTCTGAAAATGGAAGTCCACTGTCAGATCTCCCTAAGTGCATGCTCAGTGTCTATCCACATTACCCAGTCTCCCTAGGAAATGCTGCCCTCACGCGTCATGGGTCAGCTCATCCACTCCGTGCTGTGACTGCTCAGCAAGATAGACAAGGGCAAGCCATCCCAGACTCTTGCACAGAACCTGTAAAAAAGAAGGGCCTCTCCAGGCACGGTGGCTCACGCTGGTAATCCCAGCACTTTGGGAAGCCGAGGCAGGTGGATCACTTGAGGTCAGGAGTTCAAGACCAGCCTGACCAACACAATGAAACCCCATCTCTACTAAAAATACACACACAAACGAAATTAAATTAAAAATAAAAAATTAGCTGGGCATGGGAGTGCATGCCTATGATCTTAGCTACTTGGAAGGCTGAGGCAGGAGAACTGCTTGAACCTGGGAGGCAGAGGTTGCAGTGGGCTGAGACCAAGCTACTACACGCCAGCTTGGGTGACAAAGCAAGACTCTGTCTCAAAAAAATATAAAAAATTAAAATAGCCGGGCGTGGTGGCTCAAGCCTGTAATCCTAGCACTTTGGGAGGCCGAGGCGGGTGGATCACGAGGTCGAGAGATCGAGACCATCCTGGTCAACATGGTGAAACCCCGTCTCTACTAAAAATACAAAAAATTAGCTGGGCATGGTGGCTCGTGCCTGTAATCCCAGCTACTCAGGAGGCTGAGGCAGGAGAATTGCCTGAGCCCAGGAGGCGGAGGTTGCGGTGATCCGAGATCGCGCCATTGCACTCCAGCCTGGGTAACAAGAGCGAAACTCTGTCTCAAAAAAAAAAAAATTAAACTAAAATAAAAAAAAGGGCCTCCTAGAAATTTATTATAGATTTATCAACTCTTTCACTGAAAACACAAATACTGTCTTCTTAAGACAATTATTAAGACAGTATTCCTGTCTTCAGTGAAAGAGTTGATGATCAGATGCAGCAAGACAGAGAAGGCCAGGCAAGGCCTCATGGCCTCACAGGATCTCTCCACGCTGCAAGGGGAAGGGGTGGCAGTGGGTGTGGAGAGAGCAGGGTCAAGCCCACTTCATCCCCAGGCAGTAACAAGACCCCTTTCTATAAGACACAAGACAAACCTGTATTTTAAAACCTGTGCATGAAGAACACCTACCTTGGGCCTTGAGAATAGCAGCTTTTCCTCGGCCAGCCCCCGAGCCTTGGTTTTTATTTTTCATGCTCTTTAACATGGGTGCATTCTTCAGCATGTCAGGCAAAATCAGAAAGCGAATTTTGCTGCCACGGATGTATACCTGCTCCAGCTGTGCCACGCGGCCATCTCTGTATGTGACTGTGATGTTGGACATCTGGAAGGAAATCACCAGCTAATCAGTTAACGGTCAACAGCACCAGTGGTGGTGAGGGCCTTGACTGTTGCGAGGGTTAAGTCCTGAAAAGCAGACTAACATTGTGACAAAGCTGGTGAATTACTCAGCAGTGGTCAGTACTAACTGTGCACACCAGGGACTGCACTGAGCACTTTACCTAAATAGTCCTCACAACACCTCCAGTGTGGGTACGAGTGTTCCCATTTTTATGGGTTAAAAAAACCAAAGCAGTAATCCAAGGTCAAACAGCTGGAATGCAGGGAACTCCAGATCTAAACCAGCTGGTCTAGCTTCAGAGCCTTAGCTGTGCTGTACTGCCTGCTGAGGAAACATGTGAAGAGCTCTTGAAGGTGCTAGACCCTAACTGAAACAGCTTCAAACTGCTAGTCCAAACTGCGTCTTCCCCTGCATTGCCTGGCAGTCAGATTTCAAAGGCACCACGAAGGTCATGAGTGTATACCAGATGCGGTTCTGATCCTCCAGAGTGCATACTCTAGAAGGTGAGACAGAACCCTCTAGCTTGAGTGACTAGGGACTGAGATATGGAGGACACCCAGCGTGTACAGGTACCACAGGGCCTATACAGAGGGCCTGAAATTACAAGCAGGCACTTGGGCAGAAGCCTACAGCATTCGAGGACCAGAGCAGTCAAATAATGACCCTGGACAAGGCTGTTATTTCAGATAAGGGGTCACTCAAGTTTGTTGACAGAGGAAAGATCAACAGGGTTAAGGCAGCACTTAGGAAAGATAAACGTGTCAACATGGATAGACTGCAGGCTGGACAAATGGGGAGCCTGGAGTTGAGACCAGCTTAGCATGGGAGGGTGACACCAATCTGCCAGCATCAACCTCAACAAGCACCACATTTACAGAAAAAGCAGCTTTTACTGCATGAACCTTCTGAAGCAAGAGGACTCTTAATTTATTCACAATGGGTCAGCCCATATTGTTGAGAGATGTGCTTGTCTCCCCAGATTTGTCTGGCTAGTTGCCATCTTATACTCACTCATTCTTTTCCTCAAGTGCTAACTGGCCACCCAGCCTCTGCTTGAACACTCAGTGAGAAAAGAACAACTATGGGCTGGGTGTGGTGGCTCATGTCTATAATATCAACACTTTGAGAGGGTCATGGTGGGAGGATCACTTGAGTCCAGGAGTTTGAGACCAGCCTGGGCCACACAGTGAGACCTTGTCTCTATAAAAATTAGCTGGGTGTGGTGGCACGTGCCTGTAGTTCAGCTACTCGGGAGGCTGAGGTGGGCGGATCACTTGGGTCTGGGTGGTCGAGGTTGCAGGGAGCTGTGATAGCGCCACTGCATTCCAGCCTGGGCCACAGAGCAAGATCCTCTCAAAAAGCAAACAAAACTATGCTCTGGGGCCACCCTGCTGCATATAAGCAGTTTCTAGAGGAATGGTTTCTAGAGCTTCCACCCACTATCACTGTTTTACCTTCAGGACAACAGGGCTCCAGTTTTCCATAAATCTTCTGCTCCAGGCTCCCCAATCCCAGCTCCTTACCAAATTTTCATCCAGTTCCCAAGTCCAATCCTTTACTTCCCCTGAAGAATACCATAACCTCGCCGGGCGCGGTGGCTCAAACCTGTAATCCCAGCACTTTGGGAGGCCGAGGCGGGTGGATCACGAGGTCGAGAGATCGAGACCATCCTGGTCAACATGGTGAAACCCCGTCTCTACTAAAAATACAAAAAACTAGCTGGGCGGGGTGGTGCGTGCCTGTAATCCCAGCTACTCAGGAGGCTGAGGCAGGAGAATTGCCTGAACCCAGGAGGCGGAGGTTGCGGTGAGCCGAGATCGCGCCATTGCACTCCAGCCTGGGTAACAAGAGCGAAACTCCGTCTCAAAAAAAAAAAAAAAAAAAAAAAGAATACCATAACCTCTAGTGCCACAAACGAATGCCAGGTATGGTTAGACTACCCAAGAGAGAAACCAGATACAACTCAGGCTCACCCGAATCTGACTGACAGTTAAAATGTGTTTTGGGGCTGGGTGTGGTGGCTCACGCCTATGATATCAGCACTTTGGGAGGCCAAGGCAGGGGCATCACCTGAGGTTGAGACCAGCCTGGTCAACATGGTGAAACTCCATCTCTACAAAAAAACGAAAATCAGCCAGGAAAGGTGGCAGGCGCCTGTAGTCCCAGCTACTGGGGAGGCTGAGGCAGGAGAATCACTTGAACTGGGGAGGCGGAGGTTGCAGTGAGCAAAGATCACACCACTACACTCCAGACAGGACAACAGAGCAAGACTCTGTCTCAAAAAAAAGGGGGGGGCGCGGTTTGGGGGGCTGTGCCACACTCGACTCTGTAGAAGACACAATAGGCCTGAAAACCTACAGGTGAGACCCAGCTCTGCCATCTGTCAGACGTGTAACTCCAGGTATACTTCCAGGCTTCTCCCAGCCTCAGTTCCCTCACCTACAAAGTTGAGGAAAATACAAGCGAACAAAGCCAACATTTACTGAGCACTTATTAGATATCAAGTGCTGGCCCAGGTGATTTCCCCACAGCAGCTCATGTTACCCCACAAAATCCTACAAGGTAGAGAGATGAAGTGGCATAGACATTCAGAGGCAGATAGGTCCCCAGAAACCCAAGCCCTTCTCTCTATTTTCCTGCTTGAGATCACATCACTCTTACATAGCCTGGCTGGAGTTTGAACCCAGTTCTGTCTAACTCTAAACTCACATTCTTAATCACTTCATCTGATCACACTTCCTGAAACTGTTAAAAAGCAAATTAGGTCAGGAGCAGTGCTTCATGCCTGTAATCCTAGCACTTTGGGAGGCCAAGGTGCGAGGACTGCTTGAGGTCAGGGGTTTGAGACCAGCCTGGGAAAGGCAGCAAGATCCCATGCCTACAAAAAGTCAAAAAAATTAGCTTAGTGTGGTGGTGCATGCCTGTGGTCGCAGCAACTTGGGAGGCTGAGGTGGGAGGATGGCTGGAGCCTAGGAGTTCAAGGCTGCAGTGAGCTATGATTATGACACTGTACTCCAGCCTGGGCAACAGAGTAAAACTCTGTCGTTTAAAAGAAAAAAAAAAAAAAAAAAAGCCAACAAGGAAAAGTATGCCTAAATGCTGTCTCTATTGCCTAACACATTCAGTAAATGCTAAAGCTGATTGACACTTAAAATGTGTTTTAGGAGCTATGCCATTACTAAGCCACACTCCCTCCAGCACCATAGGGGCACATCTCACTCCTTCCCTGTCAGAAGCTGTTACAACAAGACTTAATCTAGGCATTTCCATAAATGAACTATGTCCCAGCTGAAGCAGGAGACTCCAGTACCATTTGACTCCTATTTCAGTCCTAAGAATCGGGCTCACTATTGCTCTCACTTTCCCTGCAGCACTGGCTGATGAGAATCGCTCGCTGTAGACAAAACCGCAGTCTTACTGCACACATGCCTGCTAGAGCTTGCTAATAAGCCTGAGCTGTGTTTGGATCACACACCAAAGGCAGCAACTATTGAGTGAACCAGATTTTAATCAAAGCCAGGCAGGAACACCCAGTTTAATCAACTTTCCTCAACAGCCACAATGAAACACGGATGGTATAAACCAGGTACCCGACTGAAATGACATCCTGGGGGAGAGGGAGAGAATCTTTGTAGTATAGTCAAAGTGGTAGGAGTTTCTCAGATATCTGGGGCCGAGACAGAAAAAGTTAGCTCCAGGACTGTGAAGGTGCATTGGGGTGTCTCAGGTCTGTCAATACACCAGAAATGCACAAACTCTTTAGGACAATTTCACACATACACAAAGGCAGAGACACTTGGTTGCCACTGCTATTATATGAATACCAACTGATGCATTCATCCACTCACAAACAGTTCAGGGAAAAAAAGCATACAATAGTTTAAAAAAAAAAATGGTATTCCTTCAACATAGAAGGCTAGATAGCTAAAGAAATTCAACTACATTGAATTCAGGGGTTTCAAAAACTTTCCTAGCAATAGTTATGGGCAACTTTCTGGCCCAATCATGTGAGAGTTTCTTTTTTTTTTTCCTGCTTTGTTTTTTGAGACAGAGTCTCACTCTGTAGCCCAGGCTGGAGTGCAGCGGCATGATCTTGGCTCACTGTAACCTCCACCTCCCGGGTCCCAGTTCAAGCAATTCTCTTGCCTCAGCCTCCTGAGTAGCTGGGATTATAGGCAAGGGCCACCATGCCCAGCTAATTTCTGTATTTTTAGTAGAGACGGGGTTTCACCGTATTGGCCAGGCTCATCTTAAACTCCTGACCTTGTGATCTGCCTGCTTCCGCCTCCCAAAGTGCTGGGATTACAGGCGCGAGCCACTGCACCCAGCCAAGAGTTTCTTTTGGGTTCTAATTTTTATACAGTGACACAATACCATCTTCCACAAGAGACCATTTTTTCCAAAGATGGCTGTTCTGCCACAGCCAAGAAAATAGATTTCGAACAGTCCCATCAGCGATTGAGTGGTCACGTCAAAGCCCCAAAAGCACAATGTCTGCTTGTGCAGAACTCCACACTAATTTCTCCCACTAAAACTTCTAACAGGTCACTTAGAATATAGTGAAATGGATTGGCCGGGCGCGGTGGCTCAAGCCTGTAATCCCAGCACTTTGGGAGGCCGAGGCGGGTGGATCACGAGGTCAAGAGATCGAGACCATCCTGGTCAACATGGTGAAACCCCGTCTCTACTAAAAATACAAAAAATTAGCTGGGCATGGTGGCGCGTGCCTGTAATCCCAGCTACTCAGGAGGCTGAGTCAGGAGAATTGCCTGAACCCAGGAGGTGGAGGTTGCGGTGAGCCGAGATCGCGCCATTGCACTCCAGCCTGGGTAACAAGAGCGAAACTCTGTCTCAAAAAAAAAAAAAAAAAAAAAAAAAAAAAAAAAAAATAGAATATAGTGAAATGGGTACGACTATTACTCTCTGTATTTGCTTGTATCATTTATAATTTAGTTCCATTTTTACAAAATTGGGGACATACC